ATTATTTTTTGGTGAAGACCAGGAAAACAATTTACATTTCAACATATCCATCAATAAATTACATACGTTCTAAATTCAAACAAAACCAAAAACTATGAATTGCATAATTTCAATGATATTATTTTTTTCTAACGTACAGTGGCCGAGCATCTTGAGAGCAGCTCTAGCGGAAGCTCGTGCTCGAAGGACATGTTGTGGAATAGGGCTTGATTGTCTGAGGGAGGAAGCCTAGCATTGGCTGGTGAGATAACCTGAGCAGGCCTGAGCGCCAGGCCTGTCGATTTGTGTCGGCTCGAGCGCCCAAAGGTAGTCTGACATGGGCTGACGTCAGAGTGACAACGACGTCAGCCACGTAGTAGGACTTCCTTTTCTCTCTGTCAACCTTCATGGTTCTTGAATGATATCGTCTCACGATGGATGGGCGGTGGCGACGACGACTCTCCTCAATGCCTCCGCCTCGTGACCACCGCCGCCTTGGAGAATGGATCACGTAACTGCCAAGACCGTGACTTCATTCTCCTACTTCTGCGGCGGTTTGAGTTCCTCAAGCTCGCGTATGAGTACCACTACTCTGCAGAGGATGAAGTCAGCTCAAAGTTTCCGAATTGAGCAAAAGCTCCAGAACCCACAAACTTGTCGGAGTTTGCTCTGATAAGGTGACCAAAAACTGGGCAAGGTTTCAGAGAAATTGCAGGGGGTTAAACCTCTAGTTTCGAACTGGAAAATCACCACAAATCTTGTCCCAAACAACATTAAGACATAATGAAACAAGATTTGCATAGAGAACCTCACCTGGGTTCGAGTTTCAGATGTTGAAGCTCTCAGCTTCAATGGTGGTTTACATCGTGATGGTCTGATGATGCATGTAACGGTATAGCTAGGATCATTTAGTCCCAGAGATTAAGGTTTCATGGTTTTGGAGTTTGATTTATTTAATTTTCGAAGAGGAAAGTGGGTGAGAGCTCTCGGAGCTATAGAGAGTGTGAGAGTGTCGAGAGCTTAGAGAGGAAAGGAACTTCAGAAAAATGGAGAGAAGTGAGAAAGATGAGTGGAAAGAGAGGGAGTGACGTGAGCAAGTTGCAAAAAATACTATTATTTTATTTACCTATTGCTAGGGCTATTTAAGTGTAGGGGTGGATATGCAAATGGCAATTACTGTTCATTAAAGACAATTACTGTTCACTAGGTGGATTAAATAGTGGATAGCCCTGGGGGGACCTTTCCCACCGTGGAACTGCTTTAATAAGGGCAGTTGGGCAGATAATGACATGTTCGAAGGTATCGGGAGTAGGTCCGTCGGGAGGTAAGTGGCTAAAACCCTTCCAGCACCGGCGATGACGAATCCAAGTCCGTCCATTCTCTCAATATTCTTTTATTTATTTTTTATTGATCGACTGGAGCCTAGTGTAAAAGCAGTTCCAACGTGGGAACCCCCCTAGGCAATACACTATATTATCCACCTAGTGACCAGTAACTGCCCTTAATGAACAGTAATCGCCTTTTGCATCTCCACCGTTGCACTTCAATAGCCCTGGCAATAGGCAATAAAATATTATTATTATTTTTATTTATAAAATAATACAAAATAATTTTATTTGTAATTTCAAATAAGTTTTTTAATCGTTCTCGTTGCGCCACGTGGCATTATCTGAAAAGTTATAAAATAATACAAAATAATTTTATTTGTAATTTCGGATAAGATTTTTAATCGTTCTCGTTGTGCCACGTGTCATAAAATCTGAAAAGACAATTATTGGTGATGGATTTCCGATAAGATTTTTAATCGTACTCGTTGTGCCATGTGTCATTATCCAAAAATACAATTATTGGTGATGGATTTCCGATTAGATTATTAACCAATCACGTCGCGCCACGTGTCACAATCTTTGAGGATATATATTTCCATCAAATTTTTAATGAATGATGGCATGCCACGTGGCATTATCTACAACCTAATCCTTTATGAATCATCCATATAATCCACCATCCATCCTCACAAATCTCACACCAATTTTCTCAAGATCTCTATCATTATTCATAGTTTCTGCTGCATTTTTACAATGTCTTCTTCTTTAAGGACGATGTGGGAAATCGATTAGCAAGAGGAATAATTGTTTAACCAATCAGAAGGAATGTTCAATCTCCAGGTGGCCCAAAATGAAAGGGAAGAGGATGAGGAATGTAGAAGGAAAGATGACGAAGCAAGAATGGGCAGAGCCTCACATTCCCGTTAAGTCATCCAAGTTGTGGGTCAGATCTGCAGGCCCAGCCGTTCTGGAAACCTTGATAGAAGTAGGCAACGACGAGGTACGGAACTCTTGGACAATTATTTTGTCCGTAATAGTGCATTCCCTGATACGTACTTTAGACGTTGTTTTAGAATGGAACGACATTTGTTCAACAAAATCATGATTGCTGGTTGCAACCATGATTCTTACTTTGTGCAAAAGAATGATGTTTTTGGTGTTATGGGTTTCATTCATCAGCAAAAAATTACTGCTGCCTTACGGATACTTGCATATGAAGCATCTGCAGACCAAGTGGATGAGATAACGAGAATGGGTGGTGGCATCTTTTGATACATGGATTTGGCACGCCTTTTTAAGGGTTATGAGAGCTCAAAATGACCTTAACTTCCAAATCCCCAGTGTTCACGATGTCCTGCAAGGAAAGGCACCAAAAGTCACGTACTGCGTCAATGGATGTATGTACGACGAGCCATACTACCTAGCAGATGGCATTTACCCAAGGTGGTCAACATTTGTCAAAACAGTGCCACGTCCGCGAAGTGCAAAGGAAAAACACTTTGCAAGCTGTCACGATGGGTGCAGGAAAGATGTGGAGCATTGTTTTGGTATCCTCCAAGCTCGTTGGGCAATCGTCAAAGGTGTTGCCAGATTGTTTGATGTAGAGTCGCTTCGATCCATCATGATGATGTGCATTATTCTTCACAACATGATTGTGGAAGATGAGTACGATTATGATGTCGTTGATGAATATGAGCCAGACACGATGAACAATTCAAGAACACGTATATACTGTGCTCATGACGCCATCGAAGAACCTGTGCAACATGAGCCATTAGAAAGTGATGGACGTTACAATGAATTGATCATTCAACGATATACTGCACTTCAAAAGCCATATATGCACAATGCCCGACAAATTGATTTGATAGAGTACCAGTGGGAATTGAAACAAGCTTAAGATGCTTAAGTTCATTTAGTGTGTTTGTTTTTTTTTTGGTGTGTTTATTTAATTTTATTTGGTGTGTTTTTTTTTTAGTTCATTTAGTGAGTTTTTTTTTATTATTTGGTATGTTTATGTAATTTTATTTGGTGTGTTTAAATGTCTTTTGAATAAAGATTCTCTTAGTATAAATAAATTACCAAATTAAATAAATATACTCTTAGTTTAAATAAAGTACTAAAATCAATAAATTGGAAACAACATAAAGTACTCTATTCAATAAATAAGAAATTACAACCCAAAGTGATTGAAAAATTATGGGCTCCGATTACAAAAAGTACTTTATTCATTATCCCTTAACCAATTTGTGGTGCTAGGATGATCTTCTCTTGTCGTGCTAGGACCTCCTCTTGCTCTCGCTTTTCTTGCACTGTTGGAAATATGCCCTGAAAGTCAATCTTTCGAAGAAACCTTTCAGGACAAATGAATGGATGTATAGATGATTCTTATACATCAAATGGCAAAGATACTAATTAGGACTATCTCAATAAACGATATATGTCCTAAATAGTGAATCCATGGACAATGGATCGATTGAAAAAGTAATCTAATGATGTTAGACTACAGAGACCTTCTTCACATAACCATAATGTCCAAAAAGGTTCCTGGTCATTGGATTGTCGGAAGGATACTGACAATGCTTAGACCGGTACATACTGTGTCTGCTTCAAATGGAAGGATGGAAAGTCTCATCCCATTCGTGTGGTGACACTAAGACAAGTATGTAGGTGCTCATTAAGGGAATGAGTTCACTGAACACAATCGAACGAGAGTACTTGCATGGAGGTCTACTCACATGTCAAGCAAGTAACTCTAATGGTTGGAATAATGTAAGTAGTCATTTGACTTGAGGCATCGTCGTTGTCTTGTGGCTAAGTACTTAATCTTTGATTATGTCAAAGTCACCCCATTCGCGGGTGTCCACGGCATAATTGGGGTTAAGCCACTTAGTCATGAAGGCAAGTGAATGCGCAACAAGGAATCTCTAATCCTCGATAAGAGAGGAAGAATACTCTAAGATATGATTCGGGAATCTTCGGCCGAAGTATCGAGCGTAATAAAGGAAAGCGTTCATATGCGACTCAATTGAATCATATAAGAATGAATAATCACATTAGGGGTTTGACATAATATATCCATACCCTAGTAATGTGATTGAGAGTATTGTTTTAGAGAATGATCAAATTACATTGTAATTCCAACTGAATAGGTTCTCCGAACAACTTCTACATTAGCTTGGGTAGCTATGATATATGGTTAGATGTCACTCATAGCTTGTGAGTTCTTCTAGATGATTAAATGTAGTCATCAAAGAAGAAGGTGAATTAAAAGGAAGTTTTAATTCACTAAGTGATTGAATTAAATATAATCAATTGGATTGATGTCAATCACCTCACTACCTTGCTAATTAGAACCTAAAATGATTGTACACCGATACACTTTTGGTATCTGAACCAGCTTGGTTTCTGTACAGTCCTCACGTGCAGTCACATAAAGTTTGGTAAAAAATTCCAGAGGTGGTCAGCGGTCACGTGAGAGCTTGAGGAAACCCCGATATATTAGTAACTAACTTATACATTACAACACACCACACCTTTATTGCTTATTTACATCTACATACGTTGACAACTCAGAAACCCCCCAAATTTTAACCACCAGCCAAATTACAAACCTTCCCAACTCTCGCGCGCCCGCCCCAGCCCCGGCGCCCCCCCCCCCCCCCCCCCCCCCCCCCCCCCCCCCCCCACACACACATATATATATATATGTATATAACTTGGTAACCATTTCACATCCTTAAATCCGAAGTACTAGTTTTGATCAGTCTGTTTTGACTTCAGGAGTATGGAGGCTCTCAGGGTAAAGCACATTCTTGGCTCCTGTGTAATCCAAGATCTTCTCGCTAGGTGCATCTCTGGCAGATGAGCCCGCCCTATTCATATAAATCAGTCTGTAACCCCACTCAAGTAGCTCAGGGCAAAACACCTTCCATAAGTATGTCACCCTGAACCATGCCGGCTCCGTCAAGTACCTATCCCCACGACAAGCGCTGTTCACGATTGATTTGGCACATCCTTCCACTTTAGCAACTGGAGTTGCACTTACTTGGGCCTGCACAAAATTACGCTATTCAAACTGTGAATGAATATTGACAGTTTCAGCAACATACTGTGAATCTAAAGCGATGATCAATATTAACAGTCTAACAGCATACTATGAATGGATATTTAACAACATAACATGTTTCTAATATGCACACTAGATTAACTAATAAATTAAGTGCATATAAGAATTTAACAAACTTACATCTCTCAAATCTTGATCAACAGTCATTTTGCCTTCACTCATTAAGAACTTGCCTTGGGTCAGCTCAGACTCTATGAATCCAGGAGTCACGATTGTAATTTGGATGTCTGGCCCAAATTCAATCCTCAGTGTCTCGTACATGCTTAGTAGAGCTGCTTTACTTGCCTAAATTAGATATACGTGAACAATTAATCAATGAAGTATAAGATGATAATATCTCTAATATAAACAATCTTCATAAAGATCACTTACATTATAAATGCTTTGTCTTGGTATAGGTAGCCATGAAGCAGACGACGAAAGTACCACGATTTTACCTTTGCTGCTTTTCAGGTGTGGAAGTGCAAAATGAGTGGTATAAACCGAGCCCCAGAAGTTTGTGTCCTGCAACGACAAGTTGTCAACTTTCACTCATCTATTTGGAAAAAAAAAAAAATAGAACAGATAGGGACATTACTTGGGTTGGCTTACTTCAAAATTCATGCAAAATATATTGATGTTTTGATAATTGGACATGCATTTACCAATTAACCACATAAATGAAATCAGAGCAGTTACCATGATGGTTCTGAAGTTGGTGATATCAGTTGCGTCTTCCAATATGCTAAGTAAAGTGATCCCAGCATTGTTCACCAGATGGTCTACTGCATACATCACACATCCCATCAAATAATCAATCATACCATTAAATAAGAATTTACATGTTAATGTTACTCTAAAAATATCTTTATCTTTCTTCATTATTGTTTGTTATGGGATGACAACATATCACAAAGTACTGAATTAGTACAAGATCACGTCTCTTTTTTGGAGTGCTAATATAATTCACTAGCTAATTTAAATTCATATTTCCTCATGCCAAAAACATGATAAAAGTTTATTTGTACACATATAAATTGTACTTACGCCTTCCATAGTGGTTCATGGTGTCATCAACTATTCTCTTGCAGTCCTCAACCTTGGAAACATCTGCACGTATCATGAGAACATCTGGAGAGCCAAAATCACTTGCTCGATCAACAACTTCTCTGAGTGCGTTTTCACTCCTCCCAACAAGGGCTAACCGTGCCCCTCTCTTCGCATACTCATAAGCCAAGTGCTACAAAATCAAACAACACAAACATAAAGTGTACTAATTAAAAAATAATACGTCATGTGACATAACTAACTACAGTATTTGAGAAAACATGCACAAATAGAACCGGTTTCAAATTTAAGCAAACAATAAATTGTTGTTCATATTTACCATGATTCGGTTCTATTTTGATTAAAAGTTTGTAGTGTGCGCTATTTGTTCTTTAGTGTTAGTAATATTGATTACCTCTCCAATACCAGAGGAGGCCCCGGTTATGACGACGACCTTTCCTTTGAGATTTTCACTGAAAATGGAGCTCAGGACATAGGAGAAGGACTTGAAGAGATAAAAGGGTGGCAGGAAAACGCAGAGGGAGAAGAAGGTGAAAGGAGGAGCTACAAGATTCAAGAACGTGTGAATAAGACCCAACATGGCTTTGCTTAGATTTGCTACCTGTCTGATGATAACACAGGAATATGTTTCTGAGATGATGAAATCTTGAAGATAGAAGCTTTCTATTAATTGGGTTTGGGGTTTATGAATATATTAAGTGTTAGAAGGAGGAGAAGAAGGAGGTGGCGGTACAAAGGCAGCAACAGGGCACGTGGCAAGACTAGGACACGTGTACAGACATTTCCTTGTGTGACCGTATTATTTGTCCAGATGCTCCCAAATTTTGCCGCATCTCTTTAAGAAAATTTTCATTCTGATCGGAACACGAGTGGTACATTACGTGTTTTATATAAGTGGTGGAAAATTATATTTTTTAAGTTATTAACTTTTTAACACATATATTTCATCATTTGTATAATGACACGCTGTGTTCCGACTACATTGAAAAACCTCTCCAACTTTTTATTTTGGTTTTAATCTCTCCATCCACGTTGTCATTTGTGTAGAATTGAAAGAACAGAAGGATAAAAATAAAGACAGATCGCCATTAGAATTTGTTTGGGAAAACCCGCTGTGTTATAAGACAACCTTTTATGAATTCAATGTCTTTTTATCGAACAAGTTTTTAGGTATGAAAATGAAAATAAAAACTAGGAGAGTTTTGACATAGGCATTTTTTTTTGTATAACGATATATACACTAAGAGGAGAAGAACTTCGGCTAAGCTATTGAAGTGGTCAAATTTTCATATATTTTATCATATATCTCCTTTGATTTTGTATATATGAATGAGTTAAATGCATTAAATTCTATTGTTTGATTATATAGGCATTCAATACCGGACTTATATGAAAAAGAAGTGGAAAACGAGTTTTTCGGGTGTCTAAAGTAATCCAATGGAGCAAGAGGCTAAGTAACTGCATAAAGACATGCATTACAGTTAGAAGATGAAATTGCAACGGTTTTGGATATCAAAGTGACATGAGAATGCTATTCAGTAAATTTTAAGAGAGACATAATTGTTTTTATGATTTCCGTTTAATTTCTTTTTCTTTAATTAGGCCTTAATGTCCAATAAGGGCTACGTTTTTAATTAGCCTTTTTGTTGTCCATTGCCATGAGTTATAATGTGGAGATTAATTCTCCTCATTCATTCATTCTCGAAAGAAAGCCACCAAAACATATCACACTTTAAGGGGGCTGCGGCAAAGAAGGGAAGAGGGAAGAGTTCTTTCTTTGGTTTTTTTTCTTTGCTAGGTTACGATGTAGTTTAATCATGAATACTTAGTTGTCTTCTGGTATTGTTATTATCAAGTTTTTCTTCCTTATTGAGTATCTTTTGCTATTGGTAATGCACTTGATTTTTATTTAGATGCTTGATCACCATCTAGATTTAGATTAAGTTGATTTGATGCAAGTTAGAGTAAATGACATACTTAACTTGGGTTTAGCTTCTTGCAAATGATACCATAAACACCTATTTGTAGATGCCTTGCAATTAGAGTTTGTGTGATTTTCCAACAATTTCCATAGAGCTTAATGGTTTCTTACTTGTTTAAATTCATCTAGATATCATAGGGGGTTAACATATAAGGATACTTTTGATGCAACCATATGCCATGACCATTGAATAATTTAGGGAAAATCGATCATCAATATTGGGGAACTACTTGAGCATAACATATTAAGAGAATTAAGTATGATTGATTATGGTGAATTTGGATGCCCTAGGTCTTATTTTCTTATGTTTTAATTTATAATTTACATGCATTTTATTTTCAAGCTTTATTTTATTTTAGTTTAATTTAAAATTTTCATATCTTTTCCATTAAAGCTTCTCCACTCTAATTTGTATCAATTTAGTTAGTAAGATTTTTAGATATCAATTCGATTTTTGTGCGATGATATCCATGCTTATATGCTATACTATCATTTGATTCGTACACTTGCGAGCACAAAAATTCGAGACTTAATGAGGCTATCTAATTTTCGCAACAGCAACACCAAAGGCAAAATTTGGAGACAAAATTTGCAAACTAAATTTGAAGACAGAATTTGCAAATTAAATGATGTGTTACTAATAGGAATGAACATGTTTATCAACATTTTATTATATCTAATTTTCGCAACAGCAACACCAAAGGCAAAATTTGGAGACAAAATTTGCAAACTAAATTTGAAGACAGAATTTGCAAATTAAATGATGTGTTACTAATAGGAATAAACATGTTTATCAACATTTAAATAATAAACTAATCATTAAATTCTATATCTTTTAATTTCTAAAATTTTGTTTCCCTCATTATCCGTATCGAAAATGTAATCGTATTTGTACAGTTGGAAAACAACCAACTTGTTGCCCCCACCACATCAAGAAATTTTTATACTAGTCTGACGAGTGGACCTGGGTAGACTGTCCACAATGCAATCGAAAACTTCGAAAAGGGTTGGTGGGTTTTCTTGTCTCACGTACTAGCGAAACGCTCTGGACATGACATAGATTTTGTCCCCAATAGACCACAACAAGGTTTATTATCTTATCTTAATTGGAACCAAACATTATGGGAATTAATTAAGGAATTTCAACCAAAACTTCCGGTATTGTTCGTTAAACTAAAAAGTTAATCATGGTATTATTCACTTTACTCTTTATTTTGTCCTTATCGTTAAAACTCAAAATTTTCAAACTATTTTTATTAATTTTCCTAATTAATTACGGTACTTTTGGATTCAAAAGCAACAACTTCAAGATTTGTCTTCATACATATACCAAGGACGCTCAGAAACTCACCCTGTAGGCCCTAGGGTTTGGAATCCACAATCTTAACAATCTTATATTTATGTCCGAATGGAAAAGGCCTTCTGTCAGGATATTCAGAACCTTGTACAAGTTTACACTCCGGTGGAGATTTCGAAGATCTTGTTGCCTGCAATTTACTAATATATCCATTGCCAATAGGCATTTGTCCGTCTGAACATAGAAAACCAATCCTTCTCCGGCATCATATGCAAAAGTTCTATCTGTTGGATCAAAGTGTAAGACTATATTAGAGTTGCACAGTGGTATGTAACGTCTCATATAGATTAAAGATTGCAGAGATTGATTTCTGTTTATTCCATACTTGACCAATTCCGAAACTACTGAGCACCGGTTAACGTTATACCGTCAAGGATCCAGAAGAGTTTCCCTCCAACCAGGAGGCCAATCACATTGCAACATGTGTCGACATCAGAAGCCAATCACAACGAGACACATGTCAACATCAGAAGTCAATCACAACACGATACGTGTCAATGTCAGAACAAAACTAGAAACTCTTCTATAAAAGGAGATCATTCTCCCACAATATTTTCTAATATCATTTGTACTAAATCATTCACTAGTACTCACTAAAGGAGAGCTTGAACCTATGTATTTGTGTAAACCCTTTACAATTAATGAGAACTCCTCTACTCCGTGAACGTAGCCAATCTGGGTGAACCACGTACATCTTGTGTTTGCTTCCCTGTCCCTATCCATTTACATACTTATCCACACTAGTGACCGGAGCAATCTAGCGAATGTCACAAACTTAACACTTTCTGTTGTACCAAAGTTCCCGCTGATTTTGTACATCAACAATTTCAATAATACTTGTATGCTAATAAAGACAGTGTATTATTAGGATTTTATAGCTAAAGCAATCCTGATACGATTAGTAAACCTAATCAGATATGAATACTAAAGTTTAGGTGATAAAGTCTTGTTCGAATAGAATTACATGATGGGAAGTTCCCTACTCGGATTCCACCTCTTTTACTATATAACAAGAGGCCCTGTTCTCACACTCGATACACAATAATAACCTTTCTAGTCCCATTGAATAGAGTTGCGATAAGATGAGTGAAAGAGAGTAGAAGATCATTTGTTTTAGGGATATAGGGGTGTGCTATCCACACACCCCAAATTACTTCTCACACACCCTTATTAATTTATATCCGTTGATCTTATTCAATTCATCCGATCTGACGGCCGAAAATTAGAAGGGTGTGTGGATATCACACCCCTTTGTTTTATGCTATAGAGTTGTCACAATACAAGGAGAGATGCAGACACTCAGAAGATTGATCAACGGAGGTTCTAATCTAGATAAGTGTTTTTAGTTAATTACGATTTGTTGATGCACAAAACCGGGGCGGTCTTTGGTACAACGTAAATCCGACCGTGAATCTGCACAAACGCTCAAGAACACGAAGAACACAAGGAACACAAGGATTTTATCGTGGTTCACCCCAATGTTTGGGCTACGTCCACACTGTAGGTGATTCTGTTTCTCTGTAATTGTATGGATACAAGTGTTTGAGGGGAAGTCCCCCAGAGAGAGAAGAGAAGGGAGAGGAGAGCCTCGGTGGTGTGAGGACTCTCTCTCAAGGCTTCTAGCCTTTGTTTTCAGCTCTAGCCCTTAGAAATGAGGACTTAAGACTTGGTTTAGAATGAGGGGGAGTCCCCTTTTATAGAATAAGGGGCTCCTCCTCTTTTACATTTGTCGTGGGCTTAATGTGTGAGGCCCAAATACGAGGCCCAAGACCCAAATACGAGGCCCAAAAATATGGTATAAACACGATTTTTCTTCTTACACAAAGGTATACAACTAAACTTGTCAATGAAAGAGTTTTAATGAAACTTTCAGCAACATGATTTGTCTCATCACATATAAAGCAAACAAGCAACAAATAAACAACTTATACTTTCCTTATAGTTTGCTGTAATAGTAGGATTGAATATTCTTAATTAATTGTCTTAGGTTACTTATGCCTCACATGTAATTATTACATATACATTTCCACACGCGATTGTTACATATACATCCGCTGAAAGACGGTTAATAATATCAGAATATTGAACCACTAAACCTAATCGCTATCCCAAAACCAAGGCTGAAAGGCCTTCCGTCGATAATTTCTTTCTCAAAGTCGATAGTCGACGTAAACTATCAATCTCTAAATTCCAGTCACCATACAAACCCGTAATTGCCCTAATTATTATAAGATTCCAGTAATTTTTCATGCTATATGTACAAAATTGAAAATTTCAAGAGTAGCCAAAAGTGGGAAAGTTTTATTCGCTTTTACCTACAGGTCGCAATAAATCAGTACCACG